TGTGAGGAATCTTCCCCTGAGGATGAAGGAGCAGCAGAGACAACATGATGAACTGACTGCAGTGCCCATTCCCCAAACCTCTTCATTGCCAAAGGGAAGGAAGGAGAGGAATCAGGAGTAAAGTTAAGCCCATGAAGAAGGTAGGGGTAGGGGAAGCTGTTTTTGAGATTCGGTTTTATTTCTCATTACCTTACTCTGATTTGATTGGTAATAATGATGATCTCCAGAGGTCCCTTTCAACCCCGACCATTCTGTGATTCTTTGCCCATGACAGTAATTGCTGAATGATCCCTCCTTGTCCTTATCTCAACCCACGAGCCTTTCGTTATATTCTTCTCTCCCTGGCCAGCTGACAAGGGGGAGTGATAGAGCAGCTTTGGTGGGCAACTGGTCAACACCCCACACCATGACATGAGCAGGCAGAGCCCAAGCAGTTCCCATGAAGAAGGCACATCCAGCCATGTTAGTATGGCAACTTGCCTGGACCAAGCAACTGAGTCTCTGAGCAACCTACTGAGCTCAGCACTACATCTTGCTGGCAAGTATACTTGGCCTGTGCACCAGAGCTGGTTCTCTTCAAAGGACAGGTAGGGAGAGGTCTCCATGTAGACCTATGTTGAATGATACAAGCTTTATCCATTTCGTGCTGGGCATGTGTTACTGTCATCAGGCAGAAGCCTGAATTCTGCTCCAAACATAAGCTGCGAATTGATACAGGGCTCATGGAAAATGCAGAAGATTATAATACTTCAGCATGTAACAATGCAGCACAATATGGAGACAAGATAATTTCACTTTTTTCTTTCTCTTTCCTTTTTTGGATAGATAATAATGTCAATATCCAATTTGATTTAGGAGCTCCACCTGAATTTTTCATGTTAGTTATGAGTGTATTCCTGAAACATCTGGAAGAAACAAAAAGTATGCTTTAGGTAGTTTCCACTGTTATCCAGGGAGGTGCTGAGTGTACATATGCTACAGACGTAGAGATCAAAATGATGACTTAGCTTGCTATTGATGAGATACAGCTAGGTAGGGGAAAGTATCAACTTCTAAATTCACAGGAAATCACAGGGAAAAAAATCCAGAGTTTAAAGCCTGTCTCTGACAATTTTCCCTAAGATTAAGAATAGTTTCTAAATGTGTATTGCATAAAGTTGCAATAGCAGCTGACAGCAATAGAACTCTTGTCATAGAAAAGAAATCTCACTGTTAAAACAAACACAATCAGTTGCTGTGAAACATTCTAAATTATAACTCTACTATTTAACGTAAAATGACACCCTACAAAATCCTCACCAGTTAAATATGGAGAAAATATTCAGTTTCTCTCAATTATAATTTTTGCTGATGTGTGGGCAATCACACACCAATTTACCTCACAGTGAAATCTCTGTTCTTTGCAGGTGTTATTAACTCAGAATAATTCTCTGGAGGCTTCATGCTGAACTTTAATTTTCAACAAGCTTGCAGATGAAATGGCAAGACTGGGGGAGCTTTAGCTTGATTGTAATGAATAATTCACTCAGTGGACTAAATACAGAAAGGGGAAGACTAGTCTCTTATGGAAGCTTTATGCTTCTCACTATGGTTTATGTGCTTCGGTTTCTTCTTCTGCAGCTGCTTGTCCTGTGTGGATTTGACAGCTTACATAAATAATAATTTGTTGTTAAAGGGTTGAAGTTGAAACCACATGGAGTTAACCCACAGGTTCAGAGATGTAACACAGAGTTGAGTGTTTGCTTTAAGGATAGTTTTACACAGAGTAAACCTTAGACCAACAAATACGTACCACAAACTACGGGAATATACATACACCTCATTTCAGGTATAATATAAAGGTAATCAAAGAATCGTCATTATATATCTCATATGTACATGTGTCTCTAAATATATCTGCCTTTAGTACTGAGGATGGATTTTTCGAGTTAAATCTGTGGTACAGTTGTCTATAAACTTTCTAAAATATGCACCTCCAAGTGCCTTGCAGCTCCCTGCTTGGTTGATAATAATCTACTATGTCAATCTTGGAAGATTATCTTTTACAGCACATCTGAAGTCATGGCTAGAGAAGTATTTTGTTCATTTCTGTAAAAATGTGAATACAATAGATAAGATTAATCACTTTAAAGGGGGGTTTACACTAATCTTCCTGCTAGAGAGGAAACTGTCTTGAGTCAGTCACTTAAGTAATTAAAAGCATAACTTCCATTTAGCAAATCTAAAGCTTTTTATTCCCTGTTTGTTAATATGAGTATCAGGCTTAGTGGTGCACTCAAATACAATGACCACTGAAATACCTCTGAACATTATAAATAATTTTTGATCTGCCAACAAATCAGAATGATCAGAACTATTCATGTTTCTTTTGCAGCTTTGACTTCACTGAAATATAGTGGTATACAGGAAAAAAGAATTTAACAAAGTTTGTCAGTGCTACTGGTTATGCTGGGAGACAGACAATAC